AAAGGGAAGGCACATTCCCTTTTACATTTTGCTTGTTGTACTATCGCTAACAATCATTCATTATAAGTTGCCATTGTGATAAGAAAACGCCCAACTGACCACTACAATACTGTCAACAATTCAACCGGTCCCAAGTGTCTGTCAACTACGCATGCACTAGTGATGATAAAAAATAGCAGTAGCAGCTATAATAGCACTGCTATTTTACAATAGCAGTCGTANATAATAGCACTGCTATTTTACAATAGCAGTCGTAGACTGCTATTCAGTGTAAATAATAGCAGTGATTGCTAAATTTTGTAATTTATGTTTTTCAACAGTCTACACTGTATTATAACTGTTACACTGCTACTATATTATAACACATAATATAATGGCAAATAGCAGAAGCTATAGAGCGGCAGGCTTGTTGTTATCTAATTGATAATGCGCATTCCGCATTAGCTGTTAAGCGTCTAAAATGTTTCTGTTATCAACGCTTATCCAGTTACCAGATATCAATATCTAATACGGCAAATACAGTATTATCAGTAAAAACAAAAACCACAATAGTCAATATTACATTTTGCAAATCTAGTATCACAGACTATATTTTCATATAGTCTGTGGTGTTATCGTCAACTCTAATGAGTGCGACAGTAGACAGCTGATAATGACGACCAGACAACGTGCTAATTCACTGTAAATGAATAGTATCAGTGGTGACTCGTGGGTGCCGGTTGTGGGGGTGCGACTTTTAATATAATACCGCTAGTTATGGGTATAAAAAATTGTCAAATTAATCATAATAAAATAAAACACAATACACATATTATTATTTTAAAGGTCGCAGTAAAAAATAGAAATGAAAATAATAATAATAATAGCGATTTTACTATTATAGCAAACGAATAACGACGATCGTACACGTAGTTAATTCTAAAAATAAATTATCCAATATAGCAATATACTAATATTTTACTGTATGGACAACGCTACCTCTCGTAAAAAACCCGTACATAAGATTGCAGCTTAAGACCTCACGCACACGATTGGGCGCATCGTTTACAATATGCGTTTCAAAATATTATTCGGACGACGCTGTAGGTCGTACAAACACTGCTCCTATGTGCACGCGCAACTGCATATACTGAGGCAAACAGCTCTAATGTCCGCACACGACAAATGTATTATAACTACTTTACTATTTAAAAATTTGCATTTTTTATAAAAATGTAGAATTAAGAACATACAATTAATAATCTTGTTCAATTTAATTTTAGTAGGGGGTGCGATAGTCCCGTCGTCCAAGCCACGAGCCGCCACTGAATAGTACGCTATTACGGGCCGTTTCATGGCTAAATGGAATTTTTTAACAAGAAATTTTTATAAGTATTGTAATGGGGTACAGTTTAGATTAAAACAGTGCAAATTAAAGTATTATTGTATAATGTGCGACAACATCATATGGGATTTTTATGTTCGTTGTGTGTGGTGGAGACGCTCTAATCTCTCTAATATAAATTCACAAGTAACAATATGAACTTCATGATGAATTAAATGGAAATATTAATAAACTATGTTTGAGAGNAAAAAACTGGCTCAAAACATTATATAATAAACTATACATTACCAGCCCCGAAGGGCTACAGAAAATGGAGGCAGGATTAGCCGACGCCATAAATAAAAGATTACATAATAAACAAAATAGCGGACACTCACGAAATATATATATAAAAAATTAAAAAGGTACAACGCACACAACAGAAAAGACCGCTACGGACGAAAATTAGCGTACCAGTTCAGAAGATGGCTAATTTCCGACAAAACGTCCGGCCAGTGATGATAAAAAATAGCAGTAGCAGCTATAATAGCACTGCTATTTTACAATAGCAGTCGCAGACTGCTATTCAGTGTAAATAATAGCAGTGATTGCTAAATTTCGTAATTTATGTTTTTCAACAGTCTACACTGTATTATAACTGCTACACTGCTACTATATTATAACACATAATATAATGGAAAATAGCAGAAGCTATAGAGCGGCAGGCTTGGTGTTATGTATGATAATTGATAATGCGCATTCCGCATTAGTTGTTGAGCGTCTAAAATGTTTCTGTTATCAACGCTTATCCAGTTACTAGATATCAATATCTAATACGGCAAATACAGTATTATCAGTAAAAACAAAAACTACAATAGTCAATATTACATTTTGCAAATCTAGTATCACAGACTATATTTTCATATAGTCTGTGGTGTTATCGTCAACTCTAATGAGTGCGACAGTAGACAGCTGATAATGACGACCAGACAACGTGCTAATTCACTGTAAATGAATAGTATCAGTGGTGACTCGTGGGTGCCGGTTGTGGGGGTGCGACTTTTAATATAATACCGCTAGTTATGGGTATAAAAAATTGTCAAATTAATCATAATAAAATAAAACACAATACACATATTATTATTTTAAAGGTCGCAGTAAAAAATAGAAATGAAAATAATAATAATAATAGCGATTTTACTATTATAGCAAACGAATAACGACGATCGTACACGTAGTTAATTCTAAAAATAAATTATCCAATATAGCAATATACTAATATTTTACTGTATGGACAACGCTACCTCTCGTAAAAAACCCGTACATAAGATTGCAGCTTAAGACCTCACGCACACGATTGGGCGCATCGTTTACAATATGCGTTTCAAAATATTATTCGGACGACGCTGTAGGTCGTACAAACACTGCTCCTATGTGCACGCGCAACTGCATATACTGAGGCAAACAGCTCTAATGTCCGCACACGACAAATGTATTATAACTACTTTACTATTTAAAAATTTGCATTTTTTATAAAAATGTAGAATTAAGAACATACAATTAATAATCTTGTTCAATTTAATTTTAGTAGGGGGTGCGATAGTCCCGTCGTCCAAGCCACGAGCCGCCACTGAATAGTACGCTATTACGGGCCGTTTCATGGCTAAATGGAATTTTTTAACAAGAAATTTTTATAAGTATTGTAATGGGGTACAGTTTAGATTAAAACAGTGCAAATTAAAGTATTATTGTATAATGTGCGACAACATCATATGGGATTTTTATGTTCGTTGTGTGTGGTGGAGACGCTCTAATCTCTCTAATATAAATTCACAAGTAACAATATGAACTTCATGATGAATTAAATGGAAATATTAATAAACTATGTTTGAGAGAACAGCTAACAAATACGCACGAATATCAATTATATTTGAATTCCTAATCGAGAAACACGGTATCACCGATACGACTGAAATTAAACTACTACTAATCATACGCAATTCGTACATATACTATATAGCAATAAAAATGAATATGTTTATTTTTTTATAAATGAATATTTGTATAAATTTTATTATTGCTTAACGCAGAAACTAAAATTTACTTCTAATGTTAACAAATTGTAATTAAACCATTTTTTTTATATTTGTAAAATAAAAAAGAAAAACCCAGCACAGGGGGGTCGCGGCACAGTGGTGACGTGGCATAGTTGGGTCAAGTATAATGATATCTGACAGTGATTAAAATCACTATCATAAAAAACGCTTCGATGTAAATCTTTAGACAGTGTTTAGTTTTAAAAAATTGGTGGATTATTCCAAAAGCTACATGATCTGCTATTTTCTTATTTATATCCAGATTAAGATAAAGTATATCGAATAAAAGAATGATATAAATATTATTTCTCATAAAAAAATTCTATTGAAGTAAAATGTAAAAATAAAATCGAGTTTTTCACACAAATATAGCATTCGGTAGCCATTTACACCATGAAGACAAAATAAAAATTTTTTTTTTTTCATAATATAGTATATTATATTAGCTTTAATTTAAGATATATATAAAAGTGTCAGACTTTCCGGAACACTTTCAAATATAAATTTGAAAAAGTTGTCATTTTAAATCTTCCCCTGTGGGCAGGTAAAGGGTCAGATTTATAAGAAAAATATACCCAATGAAAGGCCAAGACATCATAGTAAAACCAATAACTTCTCAGCTTCGCATCAAAGCTAAAAAATACCATTTCAGTATTTATCATTTATTCAAGTAAAATTAACACATTTATATTATAATTATGGTTGATTTATTTATAACATAATAATGTTACAATACTATTAACATAGTGGCTTACATGTTTTACAAAACTAAATAGATTATAATGTTGCAAAGATGTTTGACATACGTATTAGGTTTTTCTTAAGGCTTTAATATGACTTTTAGGATTATATACAGTTTATTTTCTTGTAAAAATATAGTGGCTCAATTGATACTATAGTAAATTAAAAAAAAATTATACTTCTTTTACAAATGTAATGATCAGCGTTTAATGAATTATTTTAATTATATAAGGATGTCAAAGTTATTTCAACGTCTTACCATAATTCATTTGTTCAAAACCATTTATGTTTAAATTAGCAATGCAATTATGGAATGCATTTTATGCTTGTGGTAAATTTTTGGATGACAAATAATTAATAACTTTATTAAGTTTAACACCTGCTGATGTTGATAATATTAGTCCTTAAAAAAATAACATATTCAATCTTCAGAGTGTTATAGTAATTTGGAATTGCTAAACGAATAAAAAAGTGCTGTTTTCAACAATTGTAATTACTTGATATATATTTTAAAATTATATTTCATAAAACAAAAAAGGTGTATAATAATATATTTTATTGGTTAATTTTTACTTACAGAAAACATGGAATCATCTAAAACCAAATACGTGTAAAAAGCAGCACAACAATACTCTGCAAAAGGAATTTCGTCAGATCCAAAAATGAAGAATTTTATACCACAAACAACTCCATCTAGAGGAATTTTACAAGAAATAATTTTAATTATATCTCCGACTATACATTTTCGTACATCGTTTCGGTCGTCTTCGTTTAAATCTCCTTCGTACACATCTAAAGCATAGTAAAACTATTTGCCCATTTATTTTTAATTGTATAGACAGTGTATAAGGTTCAATTACTCATTTCTGACGTATCATGTCCATCAAGAGAATACATTTTTATGCAATCTCGCAGAATTTTATATGCTCGATAAAAACGCAAATTTAATCGTTTTTTATGTTTTCAAATCGCCCGTTATCTTAAAATAAAGATGTTTTTTAATTAAAAAGATATATAAAACTTGTATTATGTAAATATTTATATCATAGTTTAATTAACGTTTAGTTATAAGACGAGGAAGCCTGTTAATGTTCAAATTCTATGCGGGGGGAGCAAGATTGTACAGTTGCTAACTAGATGTATATCACCTGGACGCATTCGAGATGGGCTTGCTGCTCGCTCATAAGTCGGCGCCTGCGATACCAAACCGGCAAGTCACCGCTAGCAGAGTAGGACCGGAGGGTGGTGTCGTATATGTCCAATTGCTTGGCATACACGTATATCGCTTTATATTGTAATTGATAATTATCAATAAAAATACCATAATTTGTATTTTATATTGTGATAAGGCAGAAGATGGTGAGAAATGAAGTAAACACCGGTTGCAGTTCTACTTGGCATCGAGCCGTTTAATAAAGAAATGAATGAGAGTTGTAACACAGAAATAATATGTGAACAATAATAATAATAATAATAATAATAATAATAGTATCACTTTGAATAATCGTTGACAAAGAAAATAAAAGTCACTCAAAATCGCGATGGTGTTTTCGGTTGATCCGGTGGACGGCGTATCTCGGTGTGTAAGGTGTCTCGAAGAAGACTGACTCGACGTATTATTACGGCGGGGTATTCGACGCTAGGCATTTGTTGGACTTTACACCACGACGATAACGCGTGTGTGTAACGGTCCGGTTTACAGTGAAGCGGTTGCTGAGAAGGAGCTGATACGACCGCGGGGTGTCAACGTGTGACA